CTTAGGCGTTTGCACTATTTGAATTCTAACTCATGATTTGTTGAAGGAGTTATCTTTGGATAGGTCCAGTTGTGAGATTTGATTTGTCAACGCTAACAATGGATGCCAATGAGCCAACTAACGAGCGGTCTTTGTCATAAAAATGATTGCCTGAGTGAAGTAATTGAGCTAAATATTATAGTATGAATCAGTAGGGTTAAGTCACTACATATCCATTAATCATTTATTTGAGTCATCCTCGTTTTATTCTCAGCTTTGTCATGAATTATGGTATCTAAACGCAAGACCATGAAATTAACTTTTAATTTATCTTAAATTAATGCACCAATTACATCTAGGTCGCTCTTATTTTTCTCCTTCATATGATGCAAATTCCGAAGCTTTAATGTTTTTCAACGGATTTTTCTCATTTGTTTAATTAGGCATTTGTATTGGCTATCAGAAGCGCTAAATCTTGCAAGGTCTTCCTTACTTCAGTCAGAATGTACTAATTACCCATGCTCCTGTTTATCCGACAGCAGTGCCCCTTGCTCGCTTCTAATTGTAGATCACAGACCCATAACAAATGCTGATAATCCAAGCCCGCTTGGTCACAAGAATGGCCTACTTCTTGCCGCCTGTGTTACCCGGCCTCCTTCAGCAATTGGTTCAAGCGATACTAAACTGGACTTTTATGAGGGATCCAGTGTGAATATTTCACAGATCGAGCCTCGAGGTTCTCGGTTAGACCATGCTTCATTTCTGTCAATTGATGTCGTTGCTAGTCTTCATCGCAACTCAGCCTCGAACCAAGATTACCTATGTACTGGACTAGATGCTTACGCCTCATCAGAGCCATGTGTAATGTGCGGTATGGCCCTGTTACATAGTAGGATCGGCCGAGTTTTTATCTGCGCTGGTGGTACACATACCTGGGGAGCGTTCAGTTCGCCTCTGAGACTACATATGAATAAGAAGCTAAATCATCGTTTTAATGTTTTTGTTTTATCTCATTCTGACCAAAAAGCCTCTTGTGGAGCCTAAATGACGGATTTTATTGTCTATAATTATTCACTTTAAAATAATATTTTGATCTAATGGTTTATTATTTTTCATGATTTAGAATTTTTCTAAATGTTTTGGTAAGAACTGTAGGGATTTTTTTGCTTATGTCCAGTTATAATAGAGCAACATTCCAGATTTAGAAGTGGGTTGACCTCGTTGTCGCAACTTGGTTTTGTTTTCAGGGAGACCATGTAGAACGCACCTAGT